CTAACTAGTGCCTACAAGTACGTAGTACATATGGGCATGGTACATCGACATGTATGCCTCATAGATGCACCATGGGTGTCTAGGATATGCGAGCTTGTGTTCTTCGTCTTTCTATGAGAGTGGCAGAGATCGATGTCGGTCCATTAAAGGAGGTGTTCACGAAGCTGACCTTTTGATATCTTCAACTATGTACCGAAGGCGAACAAGAAAAAGGATATTGCGTCTTTTTGTGTTTAACTACTCACAGTTAATATACACAGACCACTTGCCAAGTCAACGTCCAATAAGCATATATAGTGTCCACACACTATATACATTTTCTTCGAGCAGTCTGTGTTTGTCTGAGACAGGGTCATTTCAGTTTGCTGCTGGAATCTGTACAAGTACCTGAACCAGCCTGTTCTTACAGCATTTTGACTAGACTACCCTGGCACCTGAGGTATAGGTTGTGTAATTAAACCACCACAGATGCCCAACTCCGAATTGAGTATATATACATGTATATAGAAAATACCATGTGATGCCATGTGATGCCATGTGATGCCATGTGCATGTGTCAACTACTATAGGCACTGAAGTGGAAAGGCAGGGCAAAACAAACAAGTCAACTACACCCAGGACAGCTCTTCTGCCTTTCACGTGCATGCTTCAGTTGGTAGAGCGCTCGCCTAGACTGCAGAGTGCCGTGGGTTCGAATCCCACCCAGGGCAGCTCTTCTTCTTTTCTTTGAAAAGAAAGAGCTGTCCTGGGTGTAGTTGACTTAATGTTTGCCTTGCCTTGCCTTTCTACCTCGCTACCAAGTTGTTGAGACATGCAACATGCAGAGGCAACCACCACACTCCACTAACAGTTGAAGGTCTGGAGGTAGTATTTGGAGAACAGGTTGTATTCCTCCTCGATACTGCTGGGGTTGCTATAGCGATCAAAGAATCGACAGAGGATGTGGAGGGCCCACTTCTTGCACTTCCACCACTCCAAATTAGCCCTGTCTTCCTCCTCTCCCTCCATCGCCTCCTGCAGAGTGGGAGGAGAGATACATATTTTTTATCAAGTCATATTTTTTTGTGTTGTATAAATGTTCTATCCTAACAGTGACGTGACCTCGCGTTTGACCTCGAGTTACTTCGACAACATACGGCTGCCTTTAGCTGCTCCCTCCTTACTCGAGACAAGATGTTCATCTATTTATATACACACTGATCTACTACTTTCCAAATATCTGGTTCTTTTCTTTACTCCTCATCAAATAATTAAATCTGTCACTGCACGACAAATTGGTTCTTTCTCCTTCTCTCCTCCCCAAATAACTTCTCCACAAACCACAATGTATGATCGTATATGTATTGTACATGTCTACAACGAGGGTAGCAGCGGCAAGGCAAGGTAACATACACGTCATCCTACACCAGACAGCTTGTCTTTTCAAAGATAAGAAGAGAGTTGCCCTGGGTGGGGTTTGAACCCACGACTACTGCTGTTTGCAGTCCATAAGGCGACGATGCTCTTACCAACTGAGCTACAAGGGCAACTCAGCTGGTAAGGGTTCAAATCTACCAACACAACACAACACAAGGCAAACCTCAAACCACTGTGCTATGGCACAGTATGGTACATATGTACATACATACTAACCTATCCCCAGAAAGTTTCCGTTACAAGATCCCTCTTTGCTGGCGATGAAATGGTAGCCTATGTTCAAATCTACAACACAAAGGCACACCTAAACCCACTGTGCTATGGCACAGTATACTCTCACTCAGTATGTACATGCTATGGCTGGTATGCTATGAACTACAATTTCATGCGCACCTGAGGTACGGGTCTTTCTACAATGTTCTTGAAGAGCTCGATCCAGACCGGGAGGTTAGTCTCGTTCATCAGTGCAGAGGTAGTCGGTACTACTGCACCAACACATGACAGTGTAGACTGTAGCTAGAATAATTGGGTGGCGACATTGTTACGAAATTGTTCAATGCATTAGTGCACTGCTGGGTGTCGACTTCTTTTTTTAATGAAAAGCACTAAAGTGCAAACCCTCGGCGAACTGCGCATGTGCGGTATCACTAATTGATGGGCTGGGCTTTTTATGCCTTTTCTCGTGGTATCCCGCTAGTGGCTCGCCGAGAGTCTGGCACGGGCTAGCTACAGTAGTAAATAGCATGCGGGAGTCGATACATGCCCTTCGTTGTGGACACACAGAGCGAACGGACGCGGTCGAGGTAAGCCTGTGCTAATTTACATATTGGCTTGTTCACTTGGTTTTCACGCCATAACTTTAAAACACAGTCGTTTTACGAAAATCGCCTTTTTTAAAATCAACCCAGTGTAGCACTGAACCCGATCATATCGTTATTTACCTGATTTCGTGCGCGCGGTGGCAGAAAACGTGGTAACAGACAGACTGACAGACGGACAGACTGACAGACTGACTGACACACTTACGGGACAACTACCGTAACCCTCGCTGCGCATGCGCGCCGAGGGTTAATAACCCTTATGTAGTGCATTATATTCCCATTATTGTTGCAACACGTGTCCAGAGTGTCGATATGGGAGCGTGAAAAAGTTGCATGCACTTTAAAATGTATGGGTCCAAACGGTCATTTTTTACAAGGGCAAGAGGGTTAAAGCAGTACAGGAGATATTTTAGAATCTCAATATATCAACACATTACTGCTTCAATTTCACATGACTATCATGTAACATGTATGTAGTACCCTGCGACTATCATGTGACATGTATATAGTACCCTGTGACTATCATGTGACATGTATGTATATGTAGTACCTGCATGGTGGCGTGGAAGATCTTGAGGATCTGGTGCTGGAGGGTGACGGAGAGAAGAGAGTGGTCTGCGATGATCTGGGTCATCCTGGAGTAGAGGAGGGGGAGGAAGGTGGCCATGGCCGTGATGTACGCCACCCTCTCCTCCTCCTTCTTGAACCTGTACAACAGACCATGCCCGTGGGACCCACACATATATTGAAATGCATCATACAATCATTGACTTGTAACTGTATTGTATGAAGCTTACTGGGGGATTGTACCATCCTTTGTTGGATATCCCTAGGCAACCGACAGACATGTATGAAGCTAGGTACATGTACTGGGAGATTGTACCATCTTTTGTTGGATATCCCTAGGCAACCGACAGACATGTATGAAGCTAGGTACATGTACTGGGAGATTGTACCATCCTTTGTTGGATATCCCTAGGCAAACCGACAGACATGTATGAAGCTAGGTACATGTACTGGGAGATTGTACCATCTTTTGTTGGATATCCCTAGGCAACCGACAGACATGTATGAAGCTAGGTACATGTACTGGGAGATTGTACCATCTTTTGTTGGATATCCCTAGGCAACCGACAGACATGTATGAAGCTAGGTACATGTACTGGGGGATTGTACCATCCTTTGTTGGATATCCCTAGGCAACCGACAGACATGTATGAAGCTAGGTACTGGGGGATTGTACCATCCTTTGTTGGATATCCCTAGGCAACCGACAGACATGTATGAAGCTAGGTACTGGGGGATTTAATCAGCCTATACAATCCTATATACATGTGCAAGTAGGGTTCATACAATGTCAGCATAAACCTCCTAGGGATATCCAACAAATCTGTTGTGCAGTACCAGCCAGGACAGCAATCGCCTGTGAGGTCTTGTCTGGGCCACTGTGTGCACATAGTATACATAATTATGTTGTCATATATATGTACAACACTCCTATATCAGATCGTGTTTATGTCCGCCTCTGTAGGTATATTTGTCCTCGGTGACGCCCCTTCTCGCTCGATTCTTCTATCAATCTTCTCTCCTTCTTTTTCTGAGTGAAGCGTGCATCTGTCATCTTTTACTGTACTTCTGGAGAGTGGTAGAGAGAGAGAGAGAAGCCGAGCCAGGTGTCCTGGCAGGTCAGAGAGTCCAGTAGGAAGTGTATTTGCGCGCACCAGGTCACTCCATCTCTCGGGGAGGTCGTGGTTTACAATGTGCGCCAGACACTGGCAGGCTGACCGACTGTCAGCCACAAAAAGTAGAGAAGATGTTCGTTACAATCAGTTACATAACACTGTCACCAGCACGAAACATACTGTCGAATGTTAGTCCCAGAGTCCATAAGTCCAGAAGAATATTATAGCTGGTTTCATACTAGCGCAAATACTTTGCGGTGGCATGATGTTAGGTGTGGTGTGTGTCGCGTATTGTTACCTACCAGACGAACACGGGTGATTTGATGATGGCCACTTCCTACAGATGTTCTCCCTAATGAAGGCTTTGGCCACATCAGGAATGGAGTATGAATGCGGCCCTCTTCTCCTCAGCCACACCGCTCCTCATTCTTCCAGTACTTCCTGAATATGCAGTTCTTTAGATACACTGCTCCTGGATGAGGGAGGGAGGGAGGGAGGGAGGGAGGGAAGAGAGGTAGGGAGGAGGGAGGGAGGGAGAGGGAGGAGGGAGAGAGGTTGGGAGGGCGAGGGAGGGAGGGAGGGAAATATTAAGGGGATTAAGTGTAGGAAGAAGAGGGAAAAGAAGGGGCACTAAACAAATAAAGAGGACAAAGTATGGAGTGAGTATAACCATGCATCTACTGGGAACTGTGGCCTTAATAAGGGCTGACGGTACAATCTACACAATAGGGCCCAGTGAAAAGGCATGCAACTGTTTCTAAACTAAGCACATTATGAACTGCCAGCATATGCATCACGTGTGGAATTGTTAAAAGCGCTTGCAGAGCGCCCTTTCCCATCGTTCTCTTTTCCTTCTGCTCAGTTGTGAGTGTGTGAGCTGGTAAGTTGATTACATTACACACACTCACATGCATGGAGAGTGTAGCGAACCCATTTAATATGTATGTACGTATGTGCGTGATATGGCTAGTATAAAATTGATGAGTTTCGATCCATGCCCAAAAAATCATACACATTTAGCAATCTATAAAACACTCACCAAAAACAGAACAAACAACGAGAAGAATAAGTTTTTTGTTTGTGGTTTGTCTGGTTGAGAGGCCCTTATGGGGAAGCCGATGTCCTCTGAGTCCACGGCAATAATCACACACATTTAGCGATTATAGCTAAAACGCTCGAAAAAGGAGAAGAACTGAGTATGGGTGTTAGGGAGAAGGCTGTTGGGATACGCGTACCTGCTGCCTGGGTGCGTCAGGGACGCAGGCTCGTCCACCACAATCGGTGGAGAAGACACGGAGTGAAGGTTGAGCATCTCGGTGGACTCTGCTAGGGAGACACACACACATGTGACGTCAGCCTTGGGCAATTAATAATTATGACGCCAATATTATAGTGAACCATACCTAATTACTTGAACACTAAAGAACTAGGGTTTATCCGTACGTCACTATATACACGTACCGTAGCTAGAGCTGGCAGTTTCAGACGAATCTCCTTAAATTAAAACATAATTGCCGTGGAACTTTATAAAAATTCTGTTCGCAGTAACCGCATGTAGTAGTGGGGCAAAATGTATTATATGTACATGGGGCTATTGCTCAAGGGGAGCAGTAACCAGAATTTCATATGCCTATATATACTAAGTTAGTGCTGACTCAACAGCTCACTATTCAGACGACAACAAACCATAACTCTAGGATTGCTAGGTAGTATACCAGTGCCCTATTCCTATACTACGTACTTGAGGGATAGCGATAGGCAACGCATGCATGCCGTACCACAAAGCTCGACGCATTGGAGTGACTAACATTGAACTGCCCCATCCAAATGTATGAATCACGTTTGCCTGCCATGGCCTTATACTGTGTTGGTGTGTGTGTGTTTGTTAACCTCCCCACATCTCTCATGTATGATCAAAATAGAGCCGCTCATTTCAGTGTCAAGATCCCCACATCAGCAATAACTGAGCCTAGTACAACTTAACCGTGACTCAACTGCGTACGCTCCCTGTAAAGCTCAAAACCTGCCTAGAGAACAAGCCCTCTGGGCGCCACTGACTCCTCTTTCCAGAACGTTTCTGCCTGCTTGCGTGAGCTCCGCGTCCAGAGTGTTGGCCAGCTCCCTGGATATCAGCGTCTGTAGCGTCCATGTTTACATCTCCAAAAACACAGCCACCCGCCGTAGTAGAGATCTTGCTGTAGATGGAGAACACCTGCGCTGGGCCTCACAAGACACGTGGTGGCTACACAGCATCCGAAATTTGCTGAGTCGCGGACGCGTTAGTTCGCGCATGCGCTTTCTGGACGACGACGCGCCTATATTCTCCCTTCGTCGTCTAGCCGGACACAGTCTATGAGACTGTGAGTCCGGCGGCAGCGCAGTGAGTTCCGTCTGTGTGGAGACGTATCAGTGTATATTTTTGGCCGGCGATAGACCGAATGCGAGTCTGGCGAGAACACGCGCGTGCGTCCTCTCCGAGATCAGTCACTAGCTAGCCATCTACCCGCGATGACATTTATGCGCATGCGTGCGCAACGGTAATCCCGCCACACCTTTACACTATGAACCAATGGCAAGATTTTGAGCTAGCAGGGTGCTGTTCTCTCGTGGCTTCGTTGCATTTGCCTTCGCACAGTGACGATTGTAATCATCATCCACTGTTCGCGCGGCTCCTCACGGCCAGCCATACTACGACGCAAGCCGGATCACCACGCTGGCCATCATCCTCTACCGTTTACCCACACCTAAAGCGAGGTCGTCAGGGAGAGGATTGCGACGCCCCGTGAGTAATAGTCGCGTCGTTGTTCGTGGGCTCAGAACGAACCTAGAGAAAGCCTTTCTATGCGACTAGCTACACCCGGGCCGCTGCCATGCTGAAGGTCACGGGGCGTCCGAGTGTGATCTCAGAGATGAACATAATACAACGCACAGCGACCAGTGGCAGAGGACGAAGATAATAAAACTACACGTGTCCATTTCTCCAACGGAACATTTTTACATCCCACCTCGGCGCAGATACACGAATCAAGCAAAGGCGCTATCGTGGTACCTACCCCAGCATCGTCTCCTCAACCAAGTCCGGAGCTCAGCACCAGGGAACGAAGCTACGTCCTCTCGTTGGATATTTGCAACAGATTCCGGAGCCCTGCACGGATACACTGACCTAAGCCACACTCGTTGCCCTTCTCAACTTGTCCACAGTGGAGCCGTACGTCGTCGACACGTATCTGGTGGGCGTCCCGCATGTTCACAGAGAACGTAATAAACTGAGCGACCTATACGACGTTGACACGCTCAAGAGCACGCTGAAGATGTGCTCCGAAACAATAACCACGAAATGTCCACTTCGAGACTTTTTTGGAGCGAGCATCGCGAGAAGTCATCATTTTTTGTAGTACGTTGTCACTACCTTGAGCCATAGGCTTCAGGTTAATGGCCTTATTCGCCCATAAGCATAGCGCAAACGTCTGTGAAAGTGCAGAACAGCAGGTAATGTCTTACCCGGAGGCCTGGAACGGCTAAACAGATGGCTGTCATGTCTCCCCGCGCCTCAAATTCATCTGGGTCCATGTCAGCCGTGTCATTTGTGTGATGGACGACACGAGCCAACAAGCAAGCTCTCCATCGCTCTGAGATTTGGGATGTATTATTGGGTTCGGAGCCATTCGACCCTGCCGAATAGTGCCACAGCGCTTGTTCTGGCCAACGTGCTCCTCACAGTGTGGCGCTGGGTGCTTCACAGAGAACCAGACATGAACCCACCACATTTGACGACTTCCTGGATTCGTTTATAGACTCTTGCCGCTAATCTACAAGATCACCACTGTCCGAGTTTCGAATAGATGCTGCAATACATCAACCATTGCTCTAGTATGGAGCGACGATCACAACAGACGAGATTGGGCCAGCTCATATTCGCGGAGAGAGACTTTTGAACCTACACAGCAGCAGTTTTGTGATATGTTTAAACAAACTGTAAGACACCTTATCAAATACGTACTTACAATGATTCGCAAGTTCGTTTGATTCATGACTTAGGGCCAATATGGCACACAGGACGTGCTTGGGATTATGCGAACTATTTACGATATTTCTTTGCCTCAAAAATCGTCTAGAACTCACATTGTGGGCCGTCAGTGCACTATCCAGATGTCATACCCACATTCCACACAACCTGCATGTAGACAGCTGTGGAACAGAGTATCTCTCGCGAGATAGGACGTACTGTGGCTGACACATCTGGTTCGGGTGGGTTCAGAGCAGCACCATTGCCAAATTCATGCAGCCTGCAGACAGGACAGCGAAACCACCATCGACAAGATCTGCAGCAACAAGTTACTGGATGCACTCTAAGCGACTGATTCAAGTTTTTTAGGCAATTGACGCATCATCCTGTTCTTATGGATAATCAGACTCGTATTGATCGGCTTTCAAGTTACACGAAAGCTACAATTATGGCGTGGCAAATGACTCATAACCTCCGCTAACGTAAGAGCCGACCGTTCCAATCCGAGTAGGTGAAAGAGCTATCCGTCAGCTGTCTTACGAAGGCAGAGCTATAGCTCCTTCACTGCTCTCCACTTACCGTTGCCCGGTTTTAGTTAATCGTACAGCGCGATTGCTGCGTCTCTAGAACGAATCTGAGGTCAAAGGTGAGAACATTGTGCGCATGCGCCATCCAGCCATGCGCGCGGCGGTAAAACTCAACCAGCTGACATGACAGAGCTAGAGATGCGTCAGTCTGCGCTTTTTCTATATTCATAACACTAGAAAAAACATTAGGCATAGTTTTAGGTACATGTACACAGGTCCGTTAACTCTCGACGTTGTGCGCTCACACCTGATCGATCGACCCCCACACGTACGTGTAAGCGACGGCGCGCGCGCATTACGTTTTAAAATTTCTACGTACATACGCAAAATTAGCCAACGTTTTGGGGTCCCCCCCCTTGAATCGTCCCGTCAGCTTTTTCAAAGGTTGGCCATCTCCCTATGGAGAGGGAATGCCACCGCCTGGATCCATCGATGCCAGCCACCTGCCCCTTTCCTAGATGGTGTGGTCTGAATCCCCCCCCCTCGGAGGTGTTTTCGTGTGTGGTTATCTTTGTGTTTTTTTGGTTTTTTGGTTTTTTTGGGATCCTTTTTTTTTGTTTTGTTTTTGTTTTTTTGTTGTCCTTTTTTTTTTGTTCACTATCATTGTGTAATTTGCATTCCACTCTAAAAAAAAATAAATAAAAATATACCTAACGTTGTGCGTAAAGTGCGCGTAGAATTATTTCGGGACGCGCCTTAACGTCCCTGAGCATGTTCGTGGAGAGAGACTTCTTGCTCTACACAAAAAGAGATACATACTCTGTTTAAGTAAAGTGATGGACGTCATATACAGTTCTTACAGGAATTCGTCTAGTTACCAAGTCCGTTTGATACATGACTTGGGAGAATACGGCACAAAAACATGTTACCAGTCTGACTGCAATGTTCTACGGAAAAGATTCCTGTTTACAGTTTGTCAGCTAGGCTTTCCTTGCGTGCATTTTTATCCGAGTCAGTATCCCAGTGTCGCTCCAAGTCCTGCATTTGTAGCAGCTGTGGAACAAGAGTATCTCTCGCGGATGGACGTACTGGTGACCGTTGGTTCAGGTGGGTTTCAGACCAGCACCATTGCAAAATTCATGCAGCATGCAGACAGGAACAGAAACCACCTCTACAAGATATGCAGCAACAAGTCTGATGACTCTAAGAACTTGAAAAAAGTTTTTTAATGTCCATCATCATGGTTATATAATAGTCTGTTTTCATATTATTGTTTTGTTCTAGCATTTTATTACTCCTAAAACAATTTAGGATTTTTCGAGGTCCCACTGCTATTAAAAGAGTTTTAACACTTAAACAGCCGCGGACACATAAATGTGTCCAGAGCCTCGATCCATAAGTCCATAAGAATTTATATTGAGGTTATACTACTAGGTGCTAATACTTTATACATCAATTTCTGTCTATTTAAGCAGATACCCATGGCGTCCAACCAAAGGGTTTTAAAAAGTCTCCTGAGATCCTCCCAGTCATAGACATCACTCAGTCTCATGGTTCCTGGGGCACGGCCCTCACTCAATGGTGGCACTCCCACAAGTCTACTGCATTGTACATAAGGCTCCACAGTGGAGAGGTTGAAGATGACTGCCAGTGTGGCTAGTTGTGTGAATCCCTTCAGCTTTTAAGACGTGCTCCACCAGAGACGACCATCAGCTGTCCAGTTGTGTGACATTTATAGAGAATGCCTCCCTTGAGGCTAACTCCAAGAGGTGTGTTTAGGTTCTCTATGTCACAGTGCCTGAAAAATTGGCTGAGGATAATAATAATTTTTTTAAGGGTCGAGAACCATGCAGAGTGGTAGCTATATCCCAAAATTAAGTATGGCAAAATGCCTAAAGCAAAATGGTGGGAAATATGGGTATACTTTTAAAAAAAGTGACATATATGGGATTTTGCAAACGATTGTCTCCTTCCAAAACGCATTTTAATTGTAACACATGTCATGTCAAGGGGGTATAAATGGTCTTTCGTGTGCAAGCACAGAACACGAGCAGGCTCACTCAACGAAAAGCTGTACAGTAAGCGAACGAGAATTAGGGCAAAGGTGTAACTTGAAGTAAAACACACCAAACTTCATTCTGATGTACTCGTACGGATCCTCAGTCCAGAGTTCATCGTCCTTCTCACTGTGACACATCATGGGAAACACCACAGAATAAAGAGGACAAAGTATGGAGTGAGTATAACCAGCATTAATGGCAGTACATAAGGGCTAACATTACACTACACAAAAGGGCCCAGTAAAGTTCCATACTAAGCCACATTATATTGCCGCATTATGCATCAGGTTGTAAAGCGCTTGCAAGCCTTTTCCCTCGTTCTTCTCTTTCTGCATGTGAATGAGCTCAAGTTCATTACATTATAATTACACACACTCACACACATGGAGAGTGTAGCGAAAAAGGAGAAGAACCGAGTATGGGTGTTAGGGAGAAGGCTGTTGGGATAGCGTACCCGCCTGCCTGGGTGCGTCAGGGACGGAGCCGTCCACCACAATCTGGAAAAGACAGGGAGTGAAGTTGGCATCTCGGTGGACCTGTAGGGAGACAGACACACAACATGTCGACGCAGCCTTAGGCTAGGTCAACACTAATATCTCCAATACAATTCTGAACCATGCCTAATTACTTGAACACTAAAGAACTAGGGTTTGTCGACACTATATAACGTACCGTAGCTGCAGTTTCAGACGAATCTCATTAAAACAAATTGCCGTGGAACTTTAAAAATTTGTTCGCAGTAACCGCATTATTTGTAGTAAGTGGGGCAAATGTATTATATGTACATGGGGCTATTGCTCAAAGGGAGCAGTACCCAGAATTTCATATGCATATATATACTAAGTTAGTGCTGACTCAACAGGCTCACTATTCAGACACCAAACCATACATCTATGATGCTAGGTATATACCGTGCCCATCCCTATACTACCGTACTTAGTGATAGCCAATAGGCAACGCGTGCATCCGTAAAGCTCGACGCATTGAAGTGACTAACATTGAACGCCCTCAAAATGTATGAATCACTTTGCCTGCCAATGGGCCTTATACTGTGTTGGTGTGTTGTGTGTGTGTGTGTGTGTGTTTGTTAATCCCTCCCCCACTCTCATGTATGATCAAAATAGGGCCGCTCAGTTCAGTGTCAAGACCCACATCAGCAATAACTAGCCTATACAAACTTAACCGTAGACTCAACTGCGTACGTCCTGAAGGCTCAAAACCTGCCTAGAGAACAAGCCACTCTGCCGCCACTGACCTCTTCCAGGAACGTTTCTGCCTGCTTGCGTAGCTCCGCGTCCAGAGTGTTGGCCAGTCCCTGGATCAGCGTATGTATGTCCATGTTTACTCAAAAAAAACCAGCCCCGCCGTAGAGAGATCTTGCTGGTAGAGGAGAACACCTGGCTGGGCACTCACACACGTGGTGGCTACGCAGATCGAGAATTTGCTGATTCGGCAGATATGCGAAGCGGGGGAAGTTCGCGCATGCGCATTCTGGACGCCGCCGCGATTGTATTCCTTCGTCGTCTCTAGCTAGCTATATAGCTAGCCGGAGAGGTCTATGAGGCTGGAGTCCGTGGGCAGCGCGTGAGTTCCGTCGGTGACACAGTCACTGAGACGTACGTATAGAGCTCGCTAATTTTTGGCGGGCGAGCCGAGCGAATGGAGAACACACGCGCGCGTGCGCGCGTATATACGTCCTGATGATCTCTCCCGCGATGATTTCTACGCATGCGTGAGAAAGGTCCGCCACCTTTACACTACTACTAGAGACGATGCAATGGCAAAATTTTGGACTAGCAGGGTGCTGTTCTTGTGGCTTGTTGCATTTGCCTTCGCAGTGACGATTGTAATCATCTCCACTGTCCTCAGCTCCTCCGGCCGCTTGACACATGGTCACCACGCTGGCCTCTCCCTCTTCGTTTACCCTAACAGGTCGTCAGGGGGCGACCGTGATAAAAGTCCCGCTTTTCGTTCCGGAAAGAAACTGAGAGAGCTCTATAAGAGCTACTACCCTGCTGTGAAGGTCACACCGAGTGTGATGGATATAACAAATACACCACAGCGACCAGTGGCAGAGGACGATAATAACAATAAAACGAATTTCTCCAACGGAACATTTTTACATCCCACCGCGGCACAGATACACGAATCAAGCAAAGGCGCTACCGTGGTACCTACCCCAGCATCGTCTCCTAAACCAAGTCCGGAACTCAGCGCCAGGGAACGAAGCTACGTCCTCTCGTTGGATATTGCGCAACAGATTTCCGGAGCCCTGCACGGATACACTGACCTAGCCACACTCGGTGCCCTTCTCAACTTGTCCACAGTGGAGCCGTACGTCGTCGACACGTATCTGGTGGGCGTCCCGCATGTTCAACAGAGAAACGTAATAAAACTGAGCGACCTATACGACGTTGACACGCTAAAAAGCACGCTGAAGATGTGCTCCGAAAACGGTAACCACGAAATGTCCACTTTCGAGACTTTTTTGGAGCGAGCATCGCGAGAAGTCATATTTGTGTACGTTGTCACTACCTTGAGCAATAGGTTCCAGGTTAATGGCCTTATTGCCCATAATCAAGGCCAAAACGTCTTTGAAATTGGAAAAAGAGGTAATGTTACCCAGGAGGCCTTGGAACGGCTAAACAGATGGGCAGTCCATGTCTCGCCCTCAAATTCATCTGGGTTCCATGTCAGCCGTGCATTTGTGATTGACGCACGGCCAAAGAAAGCTCTCCATCTCTCTGAGATTTTGGATGTATTGCGTCCGGCCATTCGCTGGAAAGTTGCCAGGTTTGGTTCTGCAACCGTGCTCCTTCACAGTTGGGTGGGTGTTCACAGAGAACCAGACAGTACCACATTTTACTACATTCCTGAGTTCGTTTATAGACCTTGCCGCTCAATCTACAGAGTCAACCACAGTCAGAGTGTAGTAGATGCTGCAAATACATTTGCTCTGAGTATGAAGGATGATCACACAAAGACTAGAATCTGGGGTTCATGTTCGTGGAGAGAGACTTCTGACCGTACACAAAAAGAAATACAAACTCTGTTTACGTAAAGTGATTGACGTCATATACGGTTCTTACAGGAATTCGTCTAGTTACCAAGTCCGTTTGATACATGACTTGGGAGAATACGGCACAAAAACATGTTGTTACCAGTCTGACTGCGATGTTCTACGGAAAAGATTCCTGTTTACAGTTTGTCAGCTAGGCTTTCCTTGCGTGCATTTTTATCCGAGTCAGTATCCCAGTGTCGCTCCAAGTCCTGCATTTGTAGCGAGCTGTGGAACAAGAGTATCTCTCGCGGATGGACGTACTGGTGACCGTTGGTTCAGGTGGGTTTCAGACCAGCACCATTGCAAAATTCATGCAGCATGTAGACAGGAACAGAAACCACCTCTACAAGATATGCAGCAACAAGTCTGATGACTCTAAGAACTCGAAAAAAGTTTTTTAATGTCCATCATCATGGTTATATAATAGTCCGTTTTCATATTATTGTTTTGTTCTAGCATTTTATTACTCCTAAAAAATTTAGGATTTTTCGAGGTCCCACTGCTATTAAAAGAGTTTTAACACTTAAACAGCCGCGGACACATAAATGTGTCCAGAGCCTCGATCCATAAGTCCATAAGAATTTATATTGAGGTTATACTACTAGGTGCTAATACTTTATACATCAATTTCTGTCTATTTAAGCAGATACCCATGGCGTCCAACCAACGGGTTTTAAAGAGTCTCCTGAGATCCTCCCAGTCATAGACATCACTCAGTCTCATGGTTCCTGGGGCACGGCCCTCACTCAATGGTGGCACTCCAACCAGTCTACTGCTTGTACATAAGGCTCCACAGTGGAGAGGTTGAAGATGGCTGCCAGTGTGGGCTAGTTGTGTGAATCCCTCAGCTTTTAAGACGTGCTCCACCGAGACGACCATCAGCTGTCCAGTTGTGACATTTATAGAGAATGCCTCCATTGAGGCTAACTCCAAGAGGTGTGTTTAGGTTCTCTATGTCACAGTGTCTGAAAAATTGGCTGAGGATAATAATAATTTTTTTAAGGGTCGAGAACCATGCAGAGTGGTAGCTATATCCCAAAATTAAGTATGGCAAAATGCCTAAAGCAAAATGGTGGGAAATATGGGTATACTTAAAAAAAAGTGACATATATGGGATTTTGCAAACGATTGTCTCCTTCCAAAACGCATTTTAATTGTAACACATGTCATGTCCAGGGGCGTATAAATGGTCCTTCGTGTGCAGCACAGGAACACGAGCAGGCTCACTCAACGAAAAGCTGTACAGTAAGCGAACGAGAATTAGGGCAAGGTGTAACTTGAAGTAAAAACCACACACCAAACTTCATTCTGATGTACTCGTACGGATCCTCAGTCCAGAGTTCATCGTCCTTCTCACTGTGACACAGCATGGAAACAACACAGACTAAGAGGACACAAAGTATGGAGTGAGTATAACCAGCATTAATGGCAGTACAACGGGCCAAACATTACACTACACAAAAGGGCCCACTAAAGTTCTATACTAAGCCACATTATATTGCCGCATCATGCATCAGGTTGTAAGCGCACATGGTGCAAGCGCGCTTTTCCCATCAGTTTCGTTCTCTTTTCCATGTTAAAGGAGCATCAAGCATTCATTACAATTATAATTACACACACTTGCGCACGCACACACCTGGAGAGTGTAAGCGAAAAGTGAGAAGAACGGAGTGAGTGGGGTGTAGGGAGAGGCTTTGGGATAGGCGACCTGCACCTGCCTGAGGGTGGCGAGTCAGGGATGGAGCCCGTCCCCCAACCAATCTGGAGAAGTACCCCGAGTGAAGGTGGGTGTGTCGTGGCTGCGGTGGACCTGTAGGAGACACACGCGACACGGAGGGACAAACATGTTCGCGCCAGCCTTAGGCTAGGTGCAATACATAATTATCCATACAATTCTGAACGGGGGGCAGGGTGGGGGTACAGTGCCAATGCCTAATTACTTGAAAACTAAAGAAACTAGGTTTGGATGCCATAAGCACGTCTGACTTCCGTATCTCAGTTTATCATGGAACGACACATCAGCATTAAAACAAATTGCCGTGGACGTTAAAAATTTGTTCGCATTACCCGCATTATTTGTAGTAATGGGGGCAAATGTATTTAGTACATGGCTATTGCTCCAAGGGTGTGTTTGCAAGTACCCAGAATTTCATTGCATATATATACTAGTTATGGCTGACTCAACAGGATCACTATTGTCAGCACCAAACCATAGCATCTATGATGCTAGGTTAACCTGTGTCGGGGAGGGCGTCCATTCCCTATACTACCGTAGGGGATTTAAGTGATAGCCAATAGCACACTCGTACAAAACACACACAGCCGAATCTCGAAGGACTGTCTGGGCAGCATTCAGTGACTGAACATTAAAAACACACCCAAGGGAAATGTATGAACCACAAAATCAACATATAGGTCACTGCCAATGGGCCTTATATGTGTTGGTGTGTTGTGTGGGGGGTGTTGTTAATCCCTCCCCCACTCTCATGTCAATGATCAAATAGGGACGCTCAGTTCAGTGTCAGACCCACATCAGCAATAACTAGCTCTATACACCCCTTACCGTGAGACGTCAACTGCGTCACTCCTGAAGCTCAAAACCTGCCTAGAGAACAAGCCACTCTGCCGCCACTAGGACCTGTGCCCACGACCTGTGAACGTTTTCTGCCTGCTTGGCACCGTAGCTCACCGCGTCCAGAGATGTGGCCGTGCGCAGTGATCAGCGTATGTACTGTCCATGTGTACTATCCAAAAAAACCAGCCCGTCGTAGAGTGATCTGGCTGGTAGATGAGAACACCTGGCTGGGCACTCACACACGTGTGGCTACACAGATCGAGAATGTGCTGATTCGGCGACAGCGTGGGGCAGTTCGCGCATGCGCATTATGAGGTCGAGGCTAGACGCGCCATATATTCTCCCTTCGTCGTCTAGCTAGCCGGCACACCCGCCCCGCCATATGAGACTGGAGTCCGTCGCAGCCGCGTGAGTCCGTCGGTGACGCTCACTGAGAGACGTACGTGTTGTATAGCTCGCTTTCATTCGCAAATCAGTTTTCGGCGGGTACGTAGCGCAATGCGAGTCTGGAGAACGCGCCGTGCGTCCTCCTCATCCAACGCGATGATTTATACCCATGCTGTCGTGCGAAAGTAAATCCCACGCACTTACACTATTAAAGCCTATGGGCAAAATTTTGGACTAGCGGGTGCTGTTGCCTTGTGGCCTAGTTCAGCATTGCTTCGCAGTGACGATGGTAATCATCTCCACTGTCCTCGCTCCTCCGGCGGCTCTAACACACGGTCACCACGCGTGGCCTCTGCCCTCTCCGTTTACCCTAACAGGTCGTCAGCCGACCGTGATAAAGTCCGCTTTTCGTTCCAGAAAGAACCTAGAAGCTCTAATGCGATGACTACTGCCCCTTCTGTGAAAGGTCACGCCGAGTGTGATAGAGGTAACAAATACATACACCACCACAGCAAACCAGTGGCAGAGGACGAAAATAATAAACTACACGGTCCATTTCTCCAACGGAACATTTTTACATCCC